TGGTCTAAGCACCTGCCTGGCAAGGACAAGGACTCAGGGTCAATCCCTGGTACTGCATTTTGAGCCAGCCAACAAAACCAGGTGCAGTGGTGCATGCCTGTAATCCCAATGCTGGGGAGGCTGAGACAGGAGGATCACTATGAGTCCAAGCTGTTTAGCAAGATCCTGTACCAAACAAATAAATACATAAATAACTGATTTAAAATTTTTTTAAACAAAAATAAATAAATGCATCAAATTTGAATCCATTTGGTGGCAATTTGCAACATCACTGGAAGCATCAGTTTCCCTACACACACACAGTGGAGTGCAACCCGCAGGTGGGCAGTCCCTGCAGCCCCTTCTGTCCCCTCCTATCCCCAGAAGAAGGGACACAACCAAAAAGAGAGGGTGGAGTAAGAATCCCTGTGTGTTCAGAGTTCCTGGTTTACACAACCATTCTTTAAAAAAAAAAAAAAAAATCACTGCCTATTCTTTAAACTGTTCCTTAAAGGAAGAACCTTTCCTTGGTTTCCATCCCGTCTGAGGACCTTTCAGTTTCACAGTGTGTTTAAAGAGCTTCTGGGACACATTAATGATTCTGATGCAAACTGACATTTCACAACAAAGCATTGTGCAAAGGACTTGTTTAGTACATTTAAAAATTTGTATTCCAAGAAGCCCGATATGGTAGTGCAGGACTATCCTCACAGGTAATCAAGAGGCTGAGGCAGGAGGACTGTAAATTCATGGCCATTCTGGACAATTTAGGGAGACCTTGTCTCAAAAAAAAAAAAAAAAAAAATCTGGTTTGGGTGTGGCTCAGTAGTAACACACTTGCCCCATGTGTGTGAGGTCCTGGGTCTCACCAGAGACACTGAACAAACAAAGGAAGAGATGGACAGGGAGGGGAGGAAAAGAAAAGAGGAGGGAGGGAAGGTAGGAGGAAAGCCTTGACAGAATAATACAAATTCCCTTCCCACAAAGCACCCAAAGGCTGAAAACATAACAGACAAGCTTTCAAGGTATTGCTGAGCTCAGAAAACAGAATTAAAAGAAATGTCAAAAGGCAAGAACTATGATGCTAACTAAGACTATAAAACCTAGAAAACCCTGCTGGGCTGAGTGTCCCTGCCAGTTAAGATGGTGTCACTGCCAGGCACCCAGGCTGAGGCCCACTCGGGGTCCACCTTCTAAAACAGGATGACTTAGGAAATCTCCCACCAAAGCTAACTGATGAAAAAGCTGCAGCCTCAGACACACCCATTAGTGTTCTCCCAGAACAAGCCTGATCTACCTGGAAGTCAGGGAAATGTCTGACATGACAATAGGAACAGCTGGGCATGATAGCACAGGACTGTACTTGGGAGGCTGTGACAGGAGGGCTGCTGCGTTCCAGGCCAGCCAGAGCTCCACAATGAGATCCTGTCTCAAAACACAATCCCCAAATAAAATCAGAGCAAGCAATTGCTCCACTTCCTTCTCATTTTTTACAGAGAGGCATCTTTGATGCAACTATCAGCATCCCCATACAATGAAACCAGTGAAGAGAAGCCACCTTCAAGGAGTGGCAGCAGAAAGGACACCAGCCCTAAGATCCTCCCACCGCAAGGGTTGGACCTTTAGCTCTGGAGAACCTTTAGCAGCTGGCCAAATAAAGTGCAAATAAGATAGCAGAACTAAATGCAAGCATATTAGCAATTATAAATACATGACTTTTTAAATTCTCCTTCATGTCTATGACTTTGTGTGTAAGACTTTGTCGTAATGAAAAGACCACGTGGGGTGGGGTCGGGGGCTGGGGAATCAAGACTAGCAGGCTGTACCACTGAGGGGCATCCAGCTCTTTCCCATTTTAATTTGGAGACAGGGGCTGGCTAAGTTGACCAGGCTGGCCTCACACTGCGATCTTTCTGGCTCAGCCCCTAAGTGGCTGGGATTACAATGTGCCATTGTGCTGGGCTTAAAAAAAAAAAAAAAAATGTTTTTAAAGAAAAATAAAATCACTTTGGCTTTTTAACTTTACTATGGGGGGATGCAGTAGCCAGACCATCCCCTCTCCAAGCCTAATGATGACCAGGGTCTATTACCCTCTTTCCTAGCAGCTTCTCACCATTTGCTTAAGACTAGCAGACTTTTCCCTCCCCAAGAGGCAGCTTTACCTGGGCAAGACCACCTCTTTGAAGCAGGCACCCTTAGATTTGAGTCCTGCCTCCGCATCAGCTCACGACTCTAGGGACGTGAGCACAGCCCTGTCCCCGATTTCCTCAGCTGTAAAGTGAGCAGCATGTTACCTGCCGAGTAGGACTGCTGTCAGATGAATCGACACGCATATACTTGTGGGCGCCACAACACAGAAAACGTATTTGACAGCACTTGAGAGGCTGAGGCAGGGGGATCTTGTGTTTGAGGCCAATCTGGGCTACATATCAGGACTCTGCCTCACAAACAAACAAAAATACATATGATAAATGGCAGTATTATGAACATCAAAGGAGACCATCCATTCACTAACTCGAGTACAATTTTTAGAAAAACCATTAAAGACTCGCCTGTACCAGTAGTGTCAGACTTTTTGGACTGTTTTTGTGTTTTTCGTTTTGCTTTGTTTTTGGTGGTGCCAGGGATCAAACTCGGGATCTCGCGCTAGCCACTTATTCCACTGAGCCATCTCCCTGGCCCACTGTGTTGGGACTTTTGGAAACACAGATAAGCAAGAACCTCCTTTATATGTTCCACTTAGAAGTCTGTTTTGGGCCTGTCACATGCCCACACAACTGTACTTAATGCCCCTAGCAATCACTGAAAGTACTGTCACTGCCACTATTCAGACGAAAAAAGTGAGAAGCTAAGAAACTGGCCCAGTTGGGACTAGAGCCTCGGTGCTGCTAACCCTTCAAGTCTTAATGCCGCTCCTCCTCTGCGCCACTCTGGGGAAAGCATCACACGCAGACCCTCGGAGAGGCTGAGCGGGCACAGAGGGTGGCCCCTCCTCCACCTCTCCTAAGGCTCCCGGCCCAGCTACATCCCCAAGTCTCTTTCATTCTGATACAGGCTCTCTCATTTGCCCAGGCTGGCTTTGCTCAAACTTGTGATCTTCCTGCCTCAGGCTCCCAAGTGCTGGGGTTATGGGCACGCACCATCAAACCTATTTATTTTCATATTATTTTAAGCCAAAAATTAGAGAACTCTAAAAATAATGGATTTCATAAGCAGTCAGTGCAGCACTGCACTGCTAGTGTGAATTTTCTGCCAAGTTCTTGACCTTTCATTTCTTGTTCTTTTTTTCCCCAGTGCTGGGAGTCTCACCCAAAGCCTTGCTGGGGCCAGGCAAGTGCCCTACCGCTGAGCTACACCCCCAGCTCTTTCGTTAGGGAAAGAGGGAAAGTAACATCTTGATTAATGGCCACAATGACACATCTAAATTTTGTGGTTTTCCTATATCGATATTTCCCTGGGTGTTATGAAGTGAACTGTCACCTCTCAAGAATTTACATCTGGGGGCCAGGGAGATGGCTCAGTAGAAAAAGTGCTTGCCTGGCAAGTGCAAGGGCCTGAATTCAATCCCCGGTTCCGCAAAAAAAAAAAAAAGAAAGAAAGAAAAAAAATTATTCTGGTTTATTTTTTGATGGGAGTGCTTATATAATGATAAACGATGCCACAAAATGAGGATTTGACCCAAATAAGGAAGCACTTTCTATACCGGTTTCCACTCCCCACATTCAACAGGGTGTGGTTGCCCAGTGGTTTAAAATATTGCAAGCACATCCTAATTAAAAAAACAAAACTAAAAGAAAATTTTAAAAGATACTATTTCTTCTACAGATGTTAGACTGTAATTGGAGAGTAACACTTCTTAAAATACAGTAATTACTTTCAAGCCTTACAATGCCATTAACAACGTTGAATTTCAAGGAATAAACAACACTGAGACAATGTAACAAATTTAGAAAAACTATTGCTAAGGTCTACTCCTTTAAAAAAAAATCTGATTCTCATTGAAGTTTTTTTTTTTTTTAAACAAAGGGGGCCTGGGCACGTGTAGGCCGGTGGAAAAGTGCTTTTCCAGCTTGCGCCAAACTCTCCATCTCTACCTGGCGCTGCAAAAATAAATCAATAGGAGGGTATGAGGTGGGGTGAAACCTTCATAACTACAGCTGTCTTATCCTTGTGATTTGTACATTGCAACATTAGCCTTTAATTCTTTTTTTTTATTAGCCTTTAATTCTAAGGGAACATTTATTTATATTTTACTCAGAGTCAAGGGTTTGAAAATAAACCAGGTGATCGTAATAAAAGGATAATGTAAGGAATCTGAACCCCACTAGCTGCAAGTTGAAAACAGCTGATCAGTAAGTTGGGTCGATTAAGCGGAAAAACAAGTACTTTCAAAACAAAGCAAAGCATTTTCATTTGAAAAGAAACCATTCTTCCATTCATTTAAGACTGAATCAAACCTAAAACTGCAAGAGGTTTCATAAATTATTTCAACAGAGTCCCAATTCTGCAGGAAACAAACAGACCAAAATCACTGTCGCTGAGTTAACTGTTGACCTATTTTCCCACTCGGTCGCCTCTGCCCTCGTCTAGGGGGCTCGGGTATTTGCAATCCATCGCGCATTCGTGGTCCTAGACGTTCACAAGGACGAAACGGGAACATTTAAAATCCAACATTTGCCCTATTTAAATCAAATCACCAAACGAGTTTCGCTTCACCGCGACAAGTGAAGTCAGCAGAGCGCTGCTGGTATTTCAGAGCCGCTGGGGGCCGATCTGCAGCCAGAGTTCTCTGGCGACCACGGACCGGGTGAGAGAGTTTTAAAGAACAAGAAGAAAGGGAAGGAAGCAAAAAAGGAAAGAAGGAAATCCATGCTGCGTCCTAGGTCTAAGCTCCCGGCAAGAACCGGTCGCCTCCGCCCAGCAGAGGTGGCCATGGCCGGCGGGCCGATCGCCGCCAGGCTTCGCCGCAGACAAGTCCCAGGAGCCGGCGCCGGCGCCCGCCGACCGCCCTCCCCGCTCACCTGCGGGCTCCACGCAGGCGCGGCCCCCGAGGGAGCGCGGCACCGCCAGCCCCACGCGCGAGGAGGGTGCGCTCCACGGCCGCGGGACCCCCGGCGGTAGGTAGGCCAGGTTGGACTTGCGCCGGATCGCCACACGTCGGAAGTCGCCACTCATGGTGCGGGGCAGGTGGGCGGCTCGGCGATGTCTGGAGCCGGGAGCCGAAGACTGCGCGACTCCTTGCTGCGTTTACTCGGCGCTCACCTGCTGCCCGGGGCGCCGCGCCGCGCTCCGCCCTCTCGAGCCATTCGCCACAGCTCTGCCCAGCCCCGCCCGCCCCTCACCGCGTTCCTGAGCCAAACGTCGTGGCTCCGCCCATCACAGCCCCGCCCCCAGATCCCAGCCAATCGTCGAGACTCCGTTAAGCCACGCCCACTAAGTCCAGCAGCGCGGTCCCGCCCTGCCCTCCCGGGCCAATCGCCGCTGCCTCGCCATGCCCCCGCCGCGCGCTCACGAGCCAATCCCCAGGGCTCAGCCTCAGGAGGCGGATCCCACCCGGGGCCCAATATTCAGGCGGCAGAGGACATGCTGGGTAAAGCAGGCACCCTGGGTAGGGCCGGGGCCGCGGCTGTGGGTGCCCCGCCCCTGTCCCAGCCCAGTCCCCTTGCCCCACCTGCGCAGCACACCTGGCCTGTTGAAAGGCCAGGTGGCCACCTGCAGGCCGCGCTGGGCTCAGGGCCGCGAGAAAAGTCCTGCAGCCCCGTCGTCTGCCTGGAGCTCGCCAAACCCACGCTCGCGCCCGGGCACTCGCGCCTCTGCAGCTGCTGAGCTTAGGGACACCGATCGTACGCGGTTCGGAGAAGGGACCCGGAGCGTGGGGCCCCGCCGGGTCTCCGCACCCTCTGCCCTCGCAGTAGGCCCCAGCCCATGCCCCGACCTCCGCACCTAGGCTGAGGAGCACGGAAGAGAGAAGCGGAGACCTGGGACCCTCGCTGTCAGCAATGCATTCGGAGTCCTGTGATTACCAAGCCTTCTGGTTTGCGCTATCTACATGCGAAATTCTACAAAATACACTTTTAGCTGGACCCTGGTCAGCGAAAGGATTACGAGAAGCCAAGAGATTAAAGCAAGCCTGAGCAACACAGCAAGACTGGCTCACTCAAAGCAGAGGCAGTTTAAACTGCGTGGCTAATCGGCATTTGAAAAGTTCTCTCCGATCCGGGCAGTGGTGCTCTCTAGTGGTATCAGCCACTTGGGAGGCTGAGGGGCTGGAGGATTGTTTGAGGCCAGAGATGGGAGGCCAGCTAGGGCGTTACAGTGAGACCCTGTTTGTAAGGAAGGCTGGCTTCCCAAACCACAGAGACAGAGGGCAAGAGCAACGTTCCAAGTTCCCTGGCTGGAGCCTAGCTCCACAGTCACCGCCTCTTGTGTGACTTCAGTGCTTCCTACTGTAGCACTGAATGTCATTTAAATAGTTTCAAACAGAAATTAATAGAGAAAGGGCTTTCCCTTTCTTCCCCTCGGATACCATCGTTAAAACCCATACCACTTGATCTAATTTCTTTCCAAAGGCTCCAACTCAGTGTACCGTAACATGAATTTGGTTTGATTTGATTTGATTTG